ACAGGTTAAGCAAGAAATTTATAATTTTCTTCAGAAATATTAGAGAAATCTAAACAATGCAGGTCTCTTTGCAACATTACTGGATCCGAGACTCAAGAAAATATGCCCTTGGCCTAACTATATATAAGAAAAAACCATCAAATTATGTTGTAAAGAACTTGATACTATTACCAATGATAGACCTTTGCCTACTGCATCTCCTCTGGCTACTACTTTATCAACAAATCAATATTTCACTTCATTTTTTTATGATTATAGCAATGATGATTCGACAGATAATGAACTAGATAAATATATGGATATTAAAATAGTCCCTATTGCCCTGCAAGATAAGTCATCTTTAGAATGGTGAAAAGAACGTAAGAAAGACTTTTCAGGTTTAAGTCAGTTGGTGAAAAATATTTAGCAATACCAGCTACCTCGGTACCAACTAAGCACATATTTTCTGATTCTGGAAATCAAGTAACTCCAAGACAGGCTTGTCTTGATTCTGAAACTGTTTCTCAAATATTATTTTTAAAAAAAAAACAGTCATTTAATTAACATTATATAAATTAAATTTTATATGATTATCAATATTTAAATTTAAATATACAAAATTTATTTGAATAAAGGTTTAAATAAGACAAGGCAAAAATAAAATTATACTTATTTTCTTAAACTGATAAATATTAATCGAGTTTTGGCTCTATATTATTGTTTATTACCAGCTCAACATAATATAACATTTTACTATAATAAGCAACAAAAGCTCACTCTTGGGCAAAAATACAAGCATTGAATTCAAAAGTTCTGTAAATATAGTATTTTTCTTGTTATCATGATTACTATAAGTCAATATCCGTATAAAAAAAAGAATTAAATTAGTAATCGGCCTTATATATTAAAATTAAACTTTGTGGCTGTCGTCATGAATAAAGTCTGAGAAAAAAGCTTAACCGAATCATGATCCCGTAATATTTCACTTCAGGAAAATTTAGCTTGCTATGATAGTTAACGATAATTATTTTGTATGTAGAACCCATTTAGTGTCTATGTAGATAGCTTTGTATTCTTTATTTAGTAATAAACAATTTGCCGCAGAGTATGTATTAGTAATAAAACCAGATAACCCAAGATTGTATATTTTCCAGATAAATTTGGGTAATTCAGTTTATAATCCAGTATGTTAACTGTAAATGGGCAGATAATCCGGTATTAAATTTTATGATGGATACAACCTCTAGTTGAAGGTAAGAGTTCGAAATCTACCGATAGTAAAATTTCGAATATTTTGCTTGTATAACAGCTACTGTCTTTCGATGATTGGTTAGAACAGGATCTCTGTAACCTTGATTGCACCAACAAGATTAGGAGAACATGTAGTATTTGTGCAATGCATAAGTTACACAAAGGCATGCAAACCAGTATTAGTTAGTGCAAACCTAAGATAAGACCTCATGCTTATATAAATTCAAAGAACTAAAAAGATGAATATCCACTTGGCAAGACCAGAGTAGAGATATAGTACAGACTTTTGATGATAGCTACTGGAATAGACTTCACCCGAGGCCAGAAAACCGGATGCAACAAGAACACTCAGCAAGTTGTTCTACCATCCAGGCTGCCGGCTTAAACATCGATCAGAGAAAAAAGATCAGCAGATACTACGGAACTGGTGTCCCTTCTGGGCCATCTAGATTGGTAGTCTGGGGAGACCGGCTAGAGAATACTGAAAAAAAAGATATCAGGTTGTCTTGAAGGAAAAGTACTAGCGTTTGGATGAATTTTGCAAGGGCCAGGGGGTTTGGTGGTATAGCCTGCTTATAAGGGTTTAGAACCTATCTGGTGAACTTATCTGCAGAAAGGATTGGTGATGTGGCCTGCTCATAAAGATATAGAACCTATCTGGCAAGACTTATCTGAAAAAAACTAGGTAATATGGTAATAGTGGATACCGGACTGCTCTAGCAGATGATGACCTTGAGGATGAATCAGTTAACTAAGCTAATAGTCCTATAAGTAGTTTGCAAATGAGCTTAGAACTTGGACTAACTAATATACTGCAGGTTCTGATGAGATTAGATGGATTGGCATAGGAAACTTAGATCAGAGGATTTAATTGATAATCTAAATAATAGGTTGGTTATAGGTACAGCATCTAGTATAGAACCTAGTAATAGGCAAACTACTTAAATTAGGTGCCCAAAAAACGCAGATATAGCTAGAATGTACTCTTCTTAGAATGTACTTGTCTGGGGCTCTTTTGAAGAGCACTATATGATTTTATAATCTAATAAAAGTGATAAGCCAAAGAAGCTAATCTTAATCACAAAAAAAACAACTTCAAAAAACTGAACTACAAAAAAATATTATAGTAGATATCAAAGGCTAATAATATACTTGGTTTTATACAAGTAGATGTGTTGTTAATGAAATATCAAGAGTGTAAAACTGAGGCATAGACTACTTTGGATGGTTTTTGTAAAAGTCAAACTTTTCTGCAATAAACTTCTCTATTATATTTGATATCTAAACTAGAAGAATATTCTAAGAACACAGAATGACAAAGTCAATGCTAAATATATTAAAAAACTAGAAATTGTCTTTATATAACTATAAAACTTACAAAAAAGAATCTACAAAGTTTTGTTTGTCTACTACTTTTTTTAAGAAAATTTTGTTATAAAGTAGGCATCTTAGTTTATCTCTCTAAAAGACTAACATATAATTTTCTAAAATAGTCAGTATTGTTTATTTTTTAAAATAGGTTGTTTACTTTTAGTAAACACAAAACTGATGCATATCTGAAGTAAGCAACTGAGCATATCCAAAAGACAATATATATAGATTACTGTATATACTTCAATCGAAAAAAACTATTTAACAATACTTTGAGACTATTAGTGCTTTTTAACTACTTTGTCTAGCTTAATCTAGTTTAGTTTAAATCTATTAGTTTTTATTTTTTTTGTAGATAAATAGATATATTATTAGCAATGTTGTATATAAGACATATTTATACTATATTCAATATCTAAGTTTAAGATTGTCTAAAATTATCTAAGCCTATATCCCAAATTTAAATTATCAATAAAGTAAGTTAAAAAAATAAATGATTATATATTTTTTTAGATATTAGATTTATTTATAAAAAAATCAAAATAAATTATCTTAATAAAATTTTGAGTAATTTTAATTTGAAAAAATATTCAAAATTGTTTAAAAGTATTTATGTAATAGCACTGTTTATTAGAATAGAGTTAAATAAAGAGCTTCTTTATCTTATAATATATAATTTTTAATAACCTAACATAAACTTATAATTATAATTATCAGATTTTTTTTTGTTATTTCTCTTTCACTCTTTTTAGTATTAATATTAGCATTAGTATTTTTTTGATTTTTTTTACTTCTTTACAAAAAGATGTTATCAAATTGGCAATATCTTGTTATAGAACAGTGGTTTAACAAAGTCTTTTAGGATAGGTAGTTTTTAGATTATTCTGATTTACTATAATGTATCTCTTGTAGATATATCTGTCTAGTGTGGCTAGTTATTTATAAATGCTTTTAAAAATAACTACAGGATATCAGACCTAAATATTAAGCTCAATATTTTATATAATTTGCAACAAAATAATCTTAATAAAGAATCACTAGCAAAACAGCTAAAGTAGAAAAAAACAAACAAAATTCTAATAAAAATTGACCTAAACTAATATTAATCCTAACTTAATATAGGCTAACTTGTCAAAATTTTAATATTATCAGAAAAGTGATTATTAAAAAATAAAAAAATTTAATTTTTTTCAAATCTTTTATAGGCTTATAATAGTAGTATTAGGATAGACAAAATTTTTTTGTTTTTTGTTTTAATACTTTCTTTATTCTCTTCTTATTTATATATTTTTACTATAATATTCTATATCTCTGTATTTTATTTTAATCATTTCTGTTTTATTTTCTTATTGTGTTTTTTTAATAAGCAGTATAACCACTAGCTGATAAATAATAAAAAATATATCTTTAATAAGTTAAGAATTTGAAGAGAAGTCAAATACTATAAAGGCAGATCATGTCTGATATATAAAAATTATATATGTAAGCTTTTGTCTTAATTAAATTAACTATAATCAATAGATAAAATAATTATAATTTTTAAATTGACTTAATTCCAAATAAATAAAAGCAGGATTGCTAAATTAGAAATAATAAAACTATAATAAAAACCAATTTTTAAACAAAAATTATTAATTTATATAGTCAAACTATACATGCCGACGAAATTATTTTAGGTTTCAGAATACGAAATTAAAATTTGAAGACAAATTGTTTTTGATCTACTTTACTTAAAAGACAAAATTTTTTGATACTTTTTTTGAAGAGATAAAATTATAAGAAATATAACTACCTAAATTAGATTTGCTATTGCATATAAAAAATTCCAAATTGCTCTAATAGAGACGAAATAGGGGTTTTTTGAAAACCTATTTCGGTGGCATATATAAGTCAAACCCTCTATAGTTACACTTTTGATACAAAAAACTGATTATAAAGAGGTATAACTAGTATAAAGATATTTTTTATATAGTAATAAATAATTAATAAAAATAAATTTATAATTATACTAATTTTGTGACTATAGAAGAGGTAATTATAGAAGAAGTATATAATATTTATATACAAGTATAATTTATTAAGAGTATTACTATTTTCACTATAATTATTTGCTATTTTCACTATAATATTATAAAATCTAACTCCTAAATCTAACTCTAAATTTGGTTATAATTATATATCTATAATGAAATAAAAAAATTTTATAATAAAAATATTACTAAATTACTTATTTGCTTAATATACTAATCAACACAATTTTTTAGAAATAAAAAATTAAACCTTCACTTATAGTTAAAGTAAAAGTAGATTCGGAAAAGTAGCATAATTATAGCATAAAAATTTGTTAGTAATGTAATATTTGAGCTGATTAGACCAAAACTTAGGTCAGAAAAATATCTAAAACAGGTTAATATAACTAAATCAATTATATCAAGTATTTTGATGAGCTTAGATTTTGATCCGATCAGCTCTGATATTACATTACCAACAAATTTTTGCACCAAAACTATGCTACTCAGTTTGAAATTAAGCAAGATATAATTTATACCAAAATTTTTTAAGGAATTTTTTTTTGTTAAAAGCCAAAAGGTGATATCAAAAATTTAAGATATCTATATTGCCCGTGTATAAATAAAGGCGGCTATTATTTATACCCCCAATTTTGTTATTTATACCCTTTGTAGATCAAATTTATCTTCGAAGATATCTCGACAACTATCAAGTCAAATTTGATGAATTTTTTTTTATTTAAATTCTACATAGCTGTAGAATTCAAATAAAAAAAATTTATCGAATTTGGCTTAATAGATGTTGAGATATCATCACTCAAAGTTGAAAAAAAAACTCAAAATATCTATTAAAATAAAAGCTGCACCAATTTTTCTTTAACTTAGTGCAAAGATATCTCAACAACTGTCAAACCGAATTTTTTTTATATAGAT